CATTCTCCTCCCCAACCGATGTGGAATCTCACAAGATGAAGGGGTGGGTTGATGGATTATGAACCTGTTTTGAAGGATTACTGCCTTTGAATGAAGGCAAGAGACCGTGGTGGATGTTAATTATATCATTCCCATAGCTCCTCAAGAAATCACCAGATAATACCTGCCAAGAAGATTGAAAATTACCAGGATCAGATATTTAATTTCACAATCAATCACTTAAAAACACAGAAACTGCATCAGACTTCATTTGCAACATCCATTTACTTTGTTCATCTGTCTTTGTATGTATGATTTGAAACAACACAATTATCCACAAGTTTTTTTTTTTTTTTTTTTTTCTAAAGAACTAAGCTGGTAAAAATGCACTAGTATTATGATCTAATTTACCTGCATGTACCTGGCAAGTACTAAAAAATCAGTATTCTTCACCAATTCCAATATCTCTCCTTCTCTCTTATTGTCATTGTATGTTTGCAAATAATGATAAGCAATACCATGCCTTTCAAGAAAGCACATCACATGGGTATTGGGGGCTCTCTCATGATTACTGAAACAAGTGGATTGAGAAGAAAGTTTATGGGCACTTCAAAACTAATTAAAAGAAGTTTCAGAAAATTTACCTGACAACACAAGTTATTTCCACTGGTAGGTTCCCTCTTTGCCATTGATGAAGTAGGTCAACCAGACAATGATCCTGCAATGGGAAAAGTAATGTTAATATCAAAACAAAAGAAGTTTATGACATGAAATTGAGAGGTATACATGTTTTGAAGCAAGAATCGCAATCTTATATTTGGTGTCTTGATCTGGCACCCGGACAACTGACTTCCAAGCGTTAAATAATTTTGAAATCCTAAGGAAATCTTCATCCATTTGCATCCTTGGCCACTTACAAGGATCAAAAAGGAACTGGCTGCACATAAAGCGAAAGTCAGACATGAGTTCAAGCTTGAATGTCAAGAAAAGTACAGCATAGTACACTAGAGAAATTCAAACTACTTCACCGAAGATATAAGGCTCAACCTAATATTCATCACAACCAGGTTGACTGGCCACAAACGAAAAATTGTACTGGTTTGTTCCAGACAAAAACAAGTATACCGTGCTGCACAACATAGCAAAAATAATCCCACGAGGGAACAATGCATGTACAACCAGAATACTTCTTCATTTCAAGCTAGAAATGCAAGTCATGAATTGAATCAGGCAAGTCTTCAATAATATCCCAGAAAGGAACAATTATGTACGATTGTAATATTGTAGTTACTAATGCCAGTCCTCAGTAACACCCTTGAATACGAGACAAAGTTTCACTCTTGAAATTTATCGACTACTCCTGATAGAATATAAGGAATGCTTTCTTGTCTGAATAGATTGACTTAAGCCTTACATGCAATTGTGTAAGTTAGATTTTTTCTTATATGACTTCTAGAGATATGACTTCTAGAGATATAAGAAAAAATCTAGTAGAAAAGGAAATATGAACATGGACGTCTTTCTTGTCTGAATAGATTGACTTAAGCCTTATATGCAATTGTGTAAGTTAGATTACAAAATTGAAAGTTGGGTATACTATGGCCAAGAAATGAGTCTGCAACTTTGTCGATGACAACGCATTAACAGACACTTCCTTTTTATTTAATCGATAATGGATCATATTTTTTGTTACTTCCTCAAAGACCCCTAATCAAGTTGCGATGTCATTTAATAAGATCACCGCAACATGACTAGTATAGTTACAAAAATTGCATTTTTTGGAATCTTCGAGTCCAAAGGAATAATAGGATCTATAATGTGAGTCCCACATCGGTTGGAGAAGGGAACGAAGCATTCTTTATAAAGGTGTGGAAACTTCTCCCTAGCAAACGCGTTTTAAAAACCGTGAGACTAATGGCAATAAGTAACAGCCCAAAGCGGACAATATCTACTAGCGGTGGGTTTGAGCTGTTACAAATGGTATCAAAACCAGACACTAGACGGTGTTCCAACGAGGACGTGGTCCCCCAACGGGTGTGGTTGTGAGATCACACATCAGATGGGAACGAAGCATTCCTTATAAGGGTGTGGAAACCTCTCCCTAATAGATGCGTTTTAAAAATCGGGAGGCTAATGGCAATACATAACAGGTCAAAGTAAACAATATCTACTAACAGTGGGCTTGGGCTGGTACAAATGGTATAAGAGCTCACGGTTAATATTCTGTGTCAATTGAGTGATTTATTTATTAGCTGGCCTCTATAGCATCTACTGACTATTTCTTGGTGTAAACTTTTCTTTCCTATTAAGAAGTACTTTATTAATACTCTGTGTCAATTGAGTGATTTATTTATTAGCTGTAGCTTGACTTTCTTTCCTTGTTTTAGCTTCATATCATCTATAAACCCCGTACTAACACAGAAATTAAAAAAAAAAATGGCAGCTACATAGTACCAGCATATAAAACGATTTATTCAGAAAGCACCACAAGCAAAAGAAGCCAAAAATTACCTTCTGTAATGGAAGACGCTCTTGTTTTCAGGTACAAAAACATCAGCATTTAGTATGTTTCCCCCTCTTGAAGCTATACACTCCGACAACTTAGCAACGATTCCCACAGCATCCTATCACAAAACCAATTCAATTTGCACCTTATACTTCCAAAACTGTACACTCCCACGAACAACAATATAAGTCTCAACAAGAAATTTGCGCCTTATCTTTATATCCCAACTTGGAAATATCAAAGCATATAATAAGAACAGAGCATAGAGTTGTTGAAGCAGTCTAATTCAATCACCAACCGAACCAAAAATGTAACGAAAACAACCGCTAGAGCAGAACTTACAGGACAATGGAAGACATGGATTCCATGAACAAAAGAGGAAGAGGTCGGGGAGTCCAACGACTCACAAGGAGAGTTCAAAGAATACAAGGACCTGTTACCAAACCCAACAACTCGAGGAAAGCTCGACGAAACTCTCCGAATGAGGGCCATATCTCTTCCGAGGCTCAGAACTCATGACCAACAAGCGAATCCGCTGCAATAACACAACAAACGAAGTAAAATTTTGGGGATTCGAAAAGAAGCACGAACACACTCCATAAATCCACTACAGAAATAGAAACGAACAGTACCAGAGGACTGAAATCGAGTAATGCTATCTCCCTCCATTCAACGATGAAAAATCCGAGCCCCTTTGATATCAATCGCTGCTCTACTTCGAGAAGAACCAGGCCTTAGCCTCAATCAAATCGACGCCAATGCCACAGAGAAATTGAAGCAAAAGAGAATATATTCTTCACGATCACTTTAATTCGCATATATTCCTTCCCAAAATATTCAAATCTTATGAAATATATACTTCCATAAATAAAAATATTGAACTCATCAATTACTAAAATTGTAATTTTTGAGATGTTTAAAAAAAAAAAACAAATATAATATTATTTTTTAAAATTATACTTTTAAATACATATTTTTGACATTTATTAATAAATAAATGATAAAAAAAAAAACATCCTACTAATTCTAATAATATTATTAAAAATTTATTGTTACCATAAAATATATAAATACAATGTTTTTTTTTTTTGACACATGAAATAAAATAGTATAATTTTTTTTTTAATTCGATTGAAAAACTAAACCATCATAATTATATATTATCTATTAAATAAATATTTTATATATATATATATATATATAAATTTAAGAATCTTTTAAATATATATAAAAAATAAATATAGTGAGGAAGTGAAACAAAAGGGATAGAAAGGTATTAATGAGGACTCTTTTCCCTAAAGATTTTTAAAATTGAATTTATTTTATTCTTTGGCATATATTCTTTAATAAAAAGATTAAAATAGTCGATTACTCTCAATAATTTTTTTAAATGTTGTAAAATTATAGCTCTAAATTCTAGAATAATTAACGTTATTTACCTATGCTTTCTTAAATTTTATTACTTCATGGATGTTTCTTTATTATCTTTAGAATAAATCGTCTCACATCTGAGCAGTGTTGTGGGCTTTTTTAGCTTTAAGTGCTCCAAAATAGACTTAAGATTATTGTTAGAATAACCGATCAAACCGGGCTTTTTTAGCTTTAAGTGCTCCAAAATAGACTTAAGATTATTGTTAGAATAACCGATCAAACCTCGTCAGGATCATTTTAAGTTTCCTTAGGTCAAAGGGTTTTAGGTCTTCGATATTCTTTAGAATGGCTCGTGGTACTCTCTTTGGTAGATTTTGAGGATATTTTTATATTATATTTAGAATAATTCATTATATCTCGGGCAAAGTTGTGGACTTCTTTAAACTTTAGTGTTTCGAAGTAGGGTTTGAATTATTTTTAGAATGACTCATCAGACCTCGTGGGGATGAATCTAGGCTTTCGAATCAATAGCAATAAGTCTTGTTTGAAGAGGCTCATATACGAAACGTCTCGAAATAATACCAAGAGCAGAAGATTCAATTAACCAAGAGTCAAGGCGTTTATAACACAACCTAAATAAGCCTCGCTTACTGGTATCTGAGCAATTCTTCCCGTTGATTTTATAGAACTTCCCTCTAGTATCAGCACTCTTTTGCTATGGTCACATGACCTACTCCTTCTTAAAAGAAAAAACTATCCCCACGAATCAACACAAATTTTTTCAACATGATTTGTCCTCGCTCACGTACTATGAAAATTTTCATTAATATAGATAATAACTTGCAGATGGAATCAACGTGAATATCATGAACAAGCTTAATACCAATAGCAAGAATATCGCGAATGAGGGTGAATATCATGAACAAGCTCAATACCAATAACAAGCTTAATACCAATAGCCAAATATCACGAATGAGGGCACATCAAAGTAAATGATACCATAAAATGGTTGGAAAATGAATAAAATGAAAAAGACAATGAGAGCAAAATAGGAAGGGCAAGCTAATTTATTCGAAAGAAAATTTGAAAGTTGCAGATTCCATAACGGAGTTTTAATCGAGTCATTTACTCGAAAGAAAATTCAAAAACGCCCCTTAAACGAGGCCTTCGCTAATTTATTTATAAAATAAGGAAGACAAACAAATTTCTCGTGATATAAAGATTCCTCAGAACCCAAATAGAGAACGAAAAATTCATTCGTATATTTATGACAAGCAAATACAGAAGAAGAAGCTCGAGCACAACGCACAAGCCTCTATTACAGTTAGCATCCCCACTAGATGCCACAAACAATGCAATCTCATTCATACATATGCTGCTTGTACTTTCACTTCAATCCCATTTGGATTTTCAAACTGCATCTCCTGACCTTACCCTGCGTAGGCGTTGGCCGCTGCATTCTTGGGTGCCGCAATTCTTCGTGGTTCCCTCAAACTACTACCTGTGTTTGCTGTAGCTACTCCGCTCGCGATCGCGATCCCGCTCTCTTGTTGAGCCTCTGGGATGTCTAGATTCCTCCTGATCCCAGTCCGATGGTGGAGGAGGTGATGGCTCGTACCTAGATGGTTTTCTCTTGAAATGCCTATCTTCGTCGCTCGACTCACAATCAAGCGAAGTAGCACTACTCCTCCCACGACTGCTCATCCCTGCTGTGACTGTTTTCGCCTTGTAGTCATCGTAGTAACCATTGGATGATGTCTTGTGGTGTGTTGCTGAAGCACCAGTGTCACTTGGTGGTGCTTCCTTTGAAGAGTGCAATTTCCGTTTCTTCGCCATCTCTTCCTCAGCTGGGAAGCTAATTCTAGAGAACACGCTCATCTTTTGCTTGCGATCTGCAGCTGCACTGGCCGCAGATTTAGCAGAAGCTTCAGAGGCTGCTCGGGACTCTGAATGTTGACGATGATGGCGGTGGTGGCCATGATCATAAGGATCAGAATTGTCATCCTTGTCAACATCATGATCATGGTGCTCAGATTTTCTTTTGCGTGGTGGCAAGCAAGGCGGCCCAGCATTCCTTGCAATGTCAGGGGAGCTCTCAGGTTGGCGACGGTTCTGGTTGTGTTCACCAGTTGACGTTTGGGGTGCAAACTTCTGCACATAATAAGAAAGAGTCGGACAATCTATTTTGACGGAGGATCCAAATTTTTGTATGTCATCTCAATAAAGAAAATAAAATGGTTAAAATAAATCATACGATAATAAAATACCGTTATAAAGAGGCAAGCTATCTCAGATTCTAAGAAAGATGAAAATCATGCTCTCGGACAGAGAAGATCCAATGACATAATCCAATCAGGGAAATGAGGGGAAGGACTTGACAGAAATTCAAGGAAAATAGTAGAACCAATATTAACAGAAACACCTATACTATTAGCAGAAGCACTGATTTTCATGTGTTCGAGTCAAGCTTGCGCACATCTCAACAAATCAGGACAACTGTCTTAATCCTCTATATTTGATTGCAAGGAAACTCGTAGGATATTAAAATCTTAAGGGTAGGTAACCATCATGGATTGAACTCATTTTCTCTAAGCTATTTATTATGTCCATAGTCCTTGTCCAGGGTGTGCATACCCAGAGTACATCAGATATCGATATAGAACAGTTGGTACAAAACAGAGCTCCAAAGTAAATTTAAGAAAAAAATTAGATAAGAACCAGTTTCGTTGATGAACAAAATTAACAAAATTTACAAAAGAAGAGAGGGAGAAAGAAATCTCCAAACAAAAAGAGTGACAATAAAGCTCAAAAGTAAGGAAGAATTCAGTTTACACCAATAAAAGACCGGATATGTTTTTTCCTCAGACTCAAAAGTTCTATGGTTCTTTCCAATCCAAACCAAAAACAAGAATGCCCAAACAAGATTCTGCCGCAGGATTTATCAATGTGGTAACTCTTTGCCATTGTTTATCTTACAGGTAAAAAGAAGGAAGAATTTCATGCAGCAAACTTGTCTTTTCCTCCGGCAACTTTACTATTTTCTGACCAAATTGGTGCCACAAAGAATTCATAACAGAACTAGAAGTGCTATAGAGTTATGAACATGACATACAGATTTTTGTTTCACTGAAGAGACATCGCCACTGCTACTCACTTCCCTTCCAAACTCCCGATCTTTCGGAGGCTCCCGCTCCCTTCCACAAGATGATTCACAAAAAATTTAGTAAATAAATTAATATTAAAAGTAAAAAAATAAAAATTAAATCCGATATGTTGCATAACACTAACAACTTTATGTATGGACAAAGCTAATCTAAGACCAAAGGGCTGAAGTCTATTCCCCTCCCCCCAACCCACCCCGACTAAATTTCTTTTAAAAAACAGAAATGGGTTATGCAAAGATCTTTAACAGCTGAAGATTTCACACGGGATCAAATTTTCTATCTGATTGTTTGGAACCAAAGATTTTTGTTTGTCCACTCTCATCAGATATGCAAGCCAATTAGAGATTTCTTTTTATCCAATTTTGTTTGGCTTTTTAGGACAAATCTCTACCTAAGAGTTCCCCATCTCACCAGTGTGAAAATCATTCGTTCCACCTCGTTTGTTTCTTATTTTCAAATAAAGTAGAAGTTCATATTCTAGAGTGCCGGTCAACTGCGAATAAATTTCATCACTAGAGATTCATTGATAAGGGAACGTAACAACTTCAGTAATGAAACCTATTAATATATTTGAAACCAACAACAGGAAATTAAAATTCTTTTGAAAAAAATAAAAAGCTAGATGAACCGGAGCCATTATAAAGTTTTCATATTACCTTTCAACCCGCCTCTCATTTTCATGCTTCCTCCTCATGCTAGCTTTCCGAGCCTCAAATTCCTCACGGCTCATTGCAGGAGGTGCAATATTCATACCCATGCTAAAGTCCGCAAGATCCCTAAATGTGTACAAAGTCAAAATCTCTTCAGTGATGATATGACAATGTGAAATTTCAACAGCATTTATTTAATAAAGTAGCACAAATATATAGAATAGATTGGATAATATGATAATACACAATCAGTCACAAGCTCAGAAAAACACAGTAGATTTCATTAGCAACGGCACAGGAATTGCACATCAAGCCGAACACAACAAATGGGAAGCAGTTGATTTAAGTAGATAAGTAGATAAAAAGCGAGGAAACATTAGTATATATTATAATTGAAAGGTAAGATATACATCAGCAAAATAGTTTCTAATAGTTTCTAATATATATCAGCAACGAAGTGAGTAGCCACAGAGGCTCTAGCCAAAAAGCAGTAATACAATTCACGTAGATTGTAGTCGAGAAGATTTGGTTCATGAATACCTTTGGTACATTTCCCACTTCGATTCATGAATCTATAGGATTCATTTGGTTCATCTCTCATATTGGTACATTCTCTCATATTGGTAAATGAATCATCTTGATTCATGTATGAGCATTAGTGTTGCATTGATTCATGTATAAGAATGAGTGTTGTTATGCTTATATAAAGGTTTGTCTAGCATTGTTTTGAGATGTGGAGTCATTATATATTAACTATTATTAACTATAGAATTCGTTAAAGAATGAATAATGGGATAGAGTGACTGGAACCGACCTATGAGAGCAGTGGATTCCGTATGATATGAGAACGTCTGTGACACGGGATTCCACGTGCCCCATGCTACTCGGGTAAACAATCATTTATTAAATGCGTTATTTTCCTTTGATGAGGTAAAAATTGATTTGTAGCATACTCGATCAAACGGGTGATTTTCTCGCCTACTACAGATGGAAAAGATTCTTCAAGGGTCTCGGAGTCATTGCCGTTTTGTATTTGCCTAGAGGCAATTGAGAGGAACTTACAAGACTTTGTAGTGTGAGAGTGTGAGAGTGTGAGAGTGTGAGAGATACACTTCGTAAACACTTTGAATATAGTAATTGACTTCCACTAGTGGATGTAGGGGAATTTCTTCTCTTTGAACCACGTAAATCTTTGAGTCTCTTTGTTTAACTTATATTTATGGGTGTATGAGTACGATCAATCTTGTTTCCGCTTCTGCTATAACAATTGGTATCGGAGCATTTAAGGTACATCATGGAAATGCCTTTGAAAGAGATGGTTTCAAGGAAATAAATTTTCTTCCTAACATTTCAAGGGAGGGGGAGGGAGAAGGGACTCTTCAAGACATTTCAACGTTCAAAAGGGTTTTTGATATGTAGCTAGCAATAAATAAAATTGAGAAGTACCTTTCTAATTAGTCAAAACGCAAAAGAAACTTTAGAATACTAAAAAAAATCCAAAAACTAAAAGAACATTCGTAAAACACCAGAGGGATTCTGCTACTACAGATACCACACAAGAATTTTGCCATTCCTTAAAAAATTTAGCAAACGTTGCATTTCATATTCTTAACAAAATTATGAAAAAATAAATAAATAAAATAAAATAAATAAAAATCGGCCATTTCATATATAAAGTATGAGGACATACCTCTGAGGTGGAGCAACAGGAAACATGTAACTTTGCATGCCATATGGGTCCTGAGGCATGACAGGTCCAAATGGCATGTCTATGGGACCCATCCCATAGCCACCCATGTAGGGCATTGGAGCAGCATATGAAGGCATGTATCCATCAAATCCAGGTTGCATGCCAGTCCAATATGGATTATATGGGGTTGGGCCACCCATGGGCATCATATAATTTTCCGTTGCAAGATCTTGCGAAGTTTTCCATTGAAAGTCTGCAAGAACATTCAAAAATAACATCACAGAAATCAGAGCAAACTCAACTAAGTTCTTAATAAAAAAAGAATTAAATGCCAAAACCGTTGAGACGATAGGGTAAAAACATCATGGAACAGATTCGAGTACCATTTGTAGGCATGCGAACTTTCTTCTTCTTCTTTTTCTTTACTGCATCAAAAAAGAGAAGGTAATAAGTTCCAATCCAAATTATAATAACACAAAAAAAAAAAAAATTAATTTAAAATATTAAAAGAGAGAGAACATCAACATGGTGTGTGCCACAAAATTCATTTTCCAAATTGCCAAAGAGTGCTGTATGGAAACTTATCTTTCAATTATAATCGAACATAGCAAACAAACACAATTCAAACACTCGCTCTATTCCTCATACATTTACCTGCCTCACTAGCAGCAGCCATCTTCTGCTGCACTTCTTCATCAACTATCAAAGCGCTCCCTTGTGAAGCTTGTTCCTTCATGCTCATTGACTCGTGTGTAGCTTCAGACTCGTCAACTACTTTTGTGGCCTTCACTTTCTCTGCGGTTGGAGGTCCAGAGGTAATAGCCTTTTCCTCCTCTACCTCCTTGATCTTCGTAGTCTGTTCATTGACTGACAGTATAATTTTGTCTCCCTTCGAAGCAGCAGATAAGGTAGGGGAAGGAACCTTTGGCTGTGCAATGCGAGCAGATTCCATGTCTAAGCATGAATTATCAATCGGTATAAGTCATAATACGGGAAAGAAACACCACTGTCTAAATGAAAGACCAAAACTATAAAATGGGTGAATTATCATACCTTGCACCTGAAAGGTGCTACCAGCATTATCAGCACTACTATTACCACCAGACTCCAGAATACGATTAATTGTATCCCTGAGTGTCTTATTTGGCAAGAGATCATCTGCAAGAACGTTGGTTGCTCCACATACACATGCTGACTTAGAGATAATGTGGTCCCTAATACCTGTGACAAATTGTTTGACACATTCAAAAATCTAACATTTGGTATGTGCATGACTTGAGAGGCTTGCATAATGTGTACAGAACTCAAAGTAATTAACAGGATCAAGCACAACAGAATTCAGGTAACTAATACATGAAATAAGTGGAGTACTAAAACTACAAGATGATAATAAGAACCACATGGTAGTAAAAGTTATAAAATGGTGATCTTACATTTATCACAAAAGCTCTTAAAGCAACACTTGCTTGTTAAAACAGCATCTTTCATAACCTCCTTGCACAGAGGGCAGTGAAGCTCAGGGGGAAAATCACCAACTGAACGAGTGGAAGGAAATCCTTCAATCTCCTTCTCAAAAGCAGCCCTGTTTCAGTTCAGACATACTGAGTGAATGGCTAGAATCGGCCAAATCAACAATGAAACAGAAGCACGCAGAAAAGTATATCTTACTCATTCGGCCTCAAGACAGCTACAGCACCACTTGGCAATGCATATGAGCCATCAGGTGTGGCCATCAGCATAGACTTTGGAATCCCAGTGGGAGGCTTAACTCTTTTTATGTCATAATTTGGATCTCCATTTGTGGGGCAGTGTTGAATAAAGTGCCCTGGACGTACAAGTTAATGCACAATCAGATCCCCGCAAACAAAAGGAAAATGAAATAAGAAAAATACCTAAAACAACCAATGCCTTAATTAAGATGATTTTGGTGCATAACAACAGAAAAAATATGAACGCACCAGGAATTTTACATCTATGACACACGTATCCCTGTGGAGGTGTCTTCCTTTCAAAGCCTGCACAACCTCAACAAATGATACTGAGATTAGATTTAAGAGATTTTTTTTCCCCCATTTTGAGGTTTAAGCAGATGGCAACGATATAGGTACTAGCCATGACATGAATCATCTAATAAATTATAAATTGGTCAGGGACAAGTCCATACCAAAACCACGTCCTCCCATTCTTCCACCAGCACCCCTCCCAAAACCCCTACCAGGACCAAAGCCATCGGAACCTTGACTGCAATTCATCAAGGCACGTTGGTAATCAGAATCTATCATAACTAAATACATCACTACTGACAATTGTAAAAATAGTACAATCTAACTCACTGTTGCCAATCTAAGGCTGGGGTATCAATTAAGGCCTTAATCTTGCTGTCTTCTTCAGCTTTATTTGTAGGAGGTGCATCTGGAATTGGATTACTTGGCTGAACAGGATGCATTTCAGGAATTGCATACAGATCATTACCAAATTCATCCCACTCAGAATCTTCAGGCTGTAACATCAAAAGACATGTCAGTAAAGAGGGAGAACTGAATCAAGAAAATTTCATAATATGAAGACTAAGGCTCACAAATCGCAGGGCGGATGATGAATCTGCAACTGGAACAGTTGACTTTTCTTGTTCAGTCTCTTCAATTTCATCTTCCACTTTTGGCCTGCAAGATCAGAAACGGGCTGATTGTGTCAAATCTTCAAAAGTTTGCTCCAAAAGAAACTGACTAGGCATTTGCATTTCCATGCTCAGCAGTTCCGTTTGTTTTTAGGATTCAGTTTACAAGATACAGGGAAGGCACCGACTCAGTGCCACTAATTCATGTAACACACTGAACATCTTATCTTTCTCAAGAAAGATAGGATGTCAATTTAAACAGATGATAGGAGCTAATTCAGAAAAAATCAAACACACATAACACCAACTTATACAAAAACCATTTGATTAAAGGTTAAGATCGTACTCTTGTTTTGTAACAATGGGTAACCGAGGTCTTCCAGGAACACGACGAATTAAAACTGATGTATTCTTTGGGATCAACATTGCTTCATCGAGATATTCTGAAAATTTGAAAGGAGATAATAGAATCTATAAAACACTAATAAGATAACAATCCAAAAACCAGACTTAGAATATGTGATTATCCATCGATGATCATAAAAGCCCCATTATTAATCTTCCAGATTCATGCAAGCAATCTGGTACAACCGATCAGTGAAACTGACTATTAAAATTAGACTAAATCCCAGCCAAATTCAACAGTTCTTTGTTTTATAAAAGTCAAATTCACTTCCGCATTTATGCAAGTTAGTGACCTCAAACCAAGAATGTTAAGACTATAGAAACCAAGATATATCTCCCAGAAGATTAGAGGAGATAACTAGTGATCGCATGTAAAACTCATCTAAAGCCCGCAACCCATAATCGTTTCAAATGTTTCTATGAAAATTAGCTAAATTCAATTAGAACAAAAACCCACCTTCATTAGTCTGGGCGTTGGTGACCACAAGGTCAAAATCAGTGCCCCTTCCCAAGTGCTTCGATTCGAAAATTTTTTCTTTCAAAATACCAACTGAGATGAAAGGACCGTCCAAAGCAATTGAATCATAATCTCTTGCACTCTTAAATTTATAATACACCGCCATAGTACTTTTTTTTTTTTCAAAAATAATATGTAAAAGCCAGATGAACAAGCAAGGAATATATGGAAATGGGAAAAGAAAAAATTCGAAGGCCTTCAGAAAAAGGGGCCCTATATTTAACTCGAAGAAATGAAATAATACAAACTATCAAACACTTTTCCCTTCAACAAAACCGGGATGGAACAAATCGAACTGCCGAAAAGAGGGCTTCTACGAACTTCGTTCGCTGAAAATTCCCGTTATTCTCGTCCAACAAAAGTACAATATGTCTCAATGGATTCGGTCGAAACCCCGAGGACAATAAGAACCTCCTCTCAAATTCAATGGAGTTCTGTAGATCGCCGTCGCAGAAGTAGTGATCCTCTTTATCGAAGAGGCCGTCGAGATACAATTAACTCAAAAGGGAGATAAACAAAACCCTTAAAGCTCCCAAAGCAACAAGCAAGCACCAAGAGTCTTCAGCCCGATCATTAAAAAAATTCAACAGAATCAGAAATCTAATCTTCTCAAATCTACCCAACAGAAGAACAGCAGCAGCGAGAGATCGGATCCTCAAATCAACACCAGTCGTCAAGCAGCAATCGAAATCCAGGAAACCCGGTGGCGGGAGATGAAAATTAGCAAAGATCAGTCGGATTGTTCAACAGCGCGGCGATGAAATCACAAACAGGAAGAGAAATCAGTGAAGTCCAAGGGGAAAATTTGCGCCAGAAAAGAAAAGGAGGGTTTGGGAGTAGCGTTAGGGTTAGGAAATTTGGGAATTGGAAAGAGAAAAAGGTATCGAATTTTGGGAGAGCTTGAAGAGATTGGGACTACAAGAACGAAGGGCCCCCATTTACTTATCAATTTCGGGTTTTTTCTTCTTCCTACAAAGCCGCCGAGTTTTTTTTTTTTTTCCTTTTTTTAAACCGCCGAGTTTTTTTTTTTTTCCTTTTTTTAAACCGCCGAGTTTTTGCGCCGCGTTTTTTTTAACTGCCGCGGAAAATAGTTAAAGCTTGGAATTATTACTGTTTTTTTATTTGAATTTATGAGGTCGACCTTAATTATCTCGGGCAAGATATATGGGATTTTTATAAATTTAAATTTTATCAAAATATTTTTTTTTTTCTTTTATGATTGCACCAAAAATTATTTCTTGCTTAATCTATATTTTAATATTTTTTTATTTAGTTTATAGTATATTTTATTTTATTTTCAATATTTAATTAGTTTATATTTTTCTGTAGGTATTAGTGGTTAGCTTGCATCGTATTTATAAAGGATATGATCAATGAAAACGTATCTTCCATTTTTTTTGGAATAATTATAGATTGATTTGTGAACCTTTAATTAAGAGAATTATATCTAAATAATTATAAATTGTGGATAAATAAAAAAAAATTAATAATCCAACAGCCCAATCCGAGAGTTGGGTGGTTTGGGTTGTGAAATTTTTCGGGTTGGGTTGGGTTACCAATCGGAACTTTTGTGTTTGGTCAAAAAAAAAATTCACTAACCCAACGTAGGTCATGTACACCCCTACTTATGGAGAAGTCCAAAGCAAAGCCATGAGATCAAGTGAACAATATCAGACTATTGTGGAGAGTTTTGTTCATCTAACACAAGCTGCACTATGAAGAAGTGGCAAAGAATCCACGATCCGTGTCAAATGGATCTTTAAAATTCTATATTAATCGAGGTTCTTGCTTACATCATTTAAAGTGAAAAACGATTTGGCTAAACCACGATTCCATTTAGGGTCGTACTTAGAGAACAAAAGACTTCCTTTCCTTTTTATTTCTTTCTTTTGTACTAGCAATGCTCTGAAATATTTTTCTTGCACGATAATTAATTTACAGTATCGGTGGCTTTCCTGCTATGAAGACACCTAATACACGAGAATTAAGTAGGTACTTCTTAAGACTTTCAAAAGCGTACTAATGGCTAAGTTTAGGGCATGAAACTTTTCTTTTTCATCTAACGTCTCCTCTTAGAGGAGCCTCCTTTTGGAGTCGTTTGTTCGCTATTCGAGGATTCTATTGACATGGCTAAGTTTAGGGCATGGCTCTGATACCATGTTAGATGAACACGACTCTCCACAATTGTATTGATATTGTCCACTTTGAGCATAAGCTCTCGTGGGTTTGCTTTGGGCTTCCTCAAAAGGTCTCAAACTAATGGATATTGTATTCCTTAATTATAAACTCAGGATCATTTCCTAAATTAGCAGATGTAGGACTTTTCTTTTCATCCAACGTTAAATTGAATCCTTTTAAAAAATCTAAAAATAGTGTTCATAATGGTATGATAAGAACTATAAGTTGGAATACGAACATCGAGGTAATGCCTCGAGTGCCTACGACAATAAGTTTATGATAATGATGACAAGGTTCACAAATATGATAATAACAACGAGAGGGGGAATATTAGAACACCTAAACAAGAACCCTTATAGCCGTAAGAACGAATCATAAGACCCAACCAATCGATTACGATTAAAGAAAGAGAACTCATGGTTTCCACTCCATAACCCTGTGTCGAGCGTAAGTGACTAAGTAAACTCATAGTATAGTCTAGGAAAGTCTCTAACTTAGGAACGAATTTCTAAATATGTCTAAAACATCGAACGAACCAATGACATAAGACTTAACAAAAAATTAAAAACTACAGGTAAACTACTTACTGAGTATTTTTATGCTCGTCCATGAAACTTCAATTCATATTTCAAATGAAAGTTAAACTGAACGATCGAGACGAATATGTGCATGAGCCATAAGATTATAGACGTAAGACTAGATAGTATCTTGAATAAACTCACTCTAATGCACTATAATTATAAGTTGTTTCACATCGAATTGCAAATAAACTTAGCATAAATGATTATATTATTGCATTTTTTCAAATATTTTTTTTACAGATAAAACATATGAAACTTAACTATAGACTAAAACAAAATATAAATGATTATATTACATTTTTTAAATATTATTTTACAAAAATAACACACAAACTTTACACAGTCCAAATAAAAAAAAAAATTATTTACTTTTCTCAAGAATTGAATTAGAATTTAAAACTAAAAAGTTAGTTATTTTTTTAAACAAATTTCAGACAACTGTACTTGGCTCGAAAAATGTATATTCCTCATGAACGCAAGATACCACGTGTCGTGTTCTCTTTGGTGCTCACTTTTTATTTTAATTATTATTATTTTACTTCAACGAAAAGAAAGCCAAGCTCGATTGCAGCTATTATAGTGAAACACAAATTTATAATTACAATTTTACCACAAAAAATAAAAAAATACAATAAATAAATAAAGAAAAAAAGAGGGTACGAATGCTCTCTTGCTTCTCTTTATCTCTCTCTCTCTCTCTCTCTCTGTTGTTGTTCGTCTTCATCTCACTCTTCTGACATCATATCTCACCGTCGATTTGCCGGAACCCTAATTTCCATAATCGGAGAACCCAAAGCTCTTTGTTTTTTCTCTTATCAGCCTATTGGATTTCTCGCTGAATGCCGTTTGGGTTTTCTTCTTCTATTTTCGTTTGAGGAGTTAGTGCTGCGACTGCTTATACTAGGTTGGTTGCTGCGGTCGAGACCGACTCAAGCGTAGGGTTTTTGTTTGAAGCAGTAGATGACTGTAAGACAAGTGAATAGCTGAGATCAAACGGGTTGGTTTTCATCACCGGATGGAGGGAGGTAGCGTCTCTAGACTTACTTCTTCTGGTACTGTTCATTTCCTTTTTTTTTCAAAAAATTCTTTTGGGCTTGTTTATTATATGTGGTTTTTTGGTTGCGATTATTTAGGGCGGGTGTGCCTCTTAGTCTGCTTTGAAACGATGAGCTGTAAGGCTGGATTTATGAATTAAGTTATTGAGGATTTTCTTTAAAGTTGTCCCGAGATCAGTTTTCATTAATTTTTAGCACTTTGGTGTGGTTTTTGATACATGCCAAATGCCAATGTCGTGGAATGTTGGATTCGTGTCTCGCAGCTATGTGAGTATGGGGATTTAGGAGAGTTTCTCATACTAATTATTCCATTCAAAAACTGTTCTCCGAGAGTTTATGGCCAATAGTATGTGTACTCAGTAGGGTAACCGCGTCCCATGTGTTGCGTCGATGAACTAGTTTCTAGAATGGGTACCTACTAGTTTTTGTAGATTCTATTGCTGGAGACTTGAGCTGTGTAAATAATTCTTGGAAATGTCGACGCCTAGTCTTCCTACTTCTTACAAGGTCTCATGGATCAAGGAAGGGTAGAAACCTCTCTGAACAGAATTAGAAATAGAAAAATGTACAGCCTTTTTGTATGGAAAATTTGTGCTAGTCTACTTGAACGATATTCCAACCAACGAGAAAGATAAATCAACACAGCTACTGTACATCAGTGGAATTTTATATATCTGAAGAACAAGTTGAATAAAAAACTTTATATCTATGTACATTCTGCTTTGGCCAACTCCTATTTTTAACATTCTTTGTATTGACAAATAACACAATGGTATGCAAGGAGGGGCAAGATTTAATTGAAAGGACTTACAATCTCATTTCATCATGAATTGATATTTGAAATTGACGTGTTGTTGCCTGCATATAGAACATGGATATATATTTAAACGACGATGTCCACAAGTCTCATGGGCTTCTCGCACTTGTCATATTTTAATCCACAGCAGTACTTTTATCCTTTTTCCTTCTGTGCATGCTAGTTTTGTACGCTGCATAGTCCACTTTAAACAAGTTGTATATGTTACTGCAAAAGAACCACCAAAGCCAGCATAAATCAGCTTGCACCGGTTAAATACATGACGAATTATGTTTTGAAGAGGCTTGGTGGTGAGCTATGTTGAAAAGTTATTGACCATACCTAAGCCTAAATCCTATGTGTTTGTCATTTTCTTCTACCTCTCTTTTTTGTTGGTTATTAAGGCTTCTTTGGTTTTTGGTTCATACATATGTTTTCGAATATAAAGAAAGCAAGAGGAAGCAAGATTTTGTTCACTTGCAGTTGGTTCATAATT